GGATATGTAGTAAATGTCTTGGTAAATCCGATTAGGGAAGGCTCTACTCGTGGATATGGCATACGTGTAGCTCAATCGACTATAGGATCGGATTCCTGGGTTGACGATCCCATAACTCGCCATGTTATCAGCCTTTGCTTAAGCAACGACGAAGAAGAAGAGGATTCCAGGAATGTTCTTTGGCCCATTGTCCTGCACACCAAAGGCCTCTATTCCATCCTCGTCTTGCCTTTGGTTGAGCCAAGGGAGCTCAAGGATTACGTCAAGTTATGTCGGAGATCTGATTGCGGACCAGCTGTGGGTGAAGATTTGAGTTTGTCATCTGTCTTGCTTAACATTTCATCCATCACTGGGTACTTCATATCCTTTCTTAACGTTTCAGTTGTGTATCTTTTTGTTTCATATGCGTCTGACATCAAGGTTAGGAATCACTTAGTATAGACAATGGCAATGCCTGAGTTTTCATCATTCAGTTTCTTGGATAATCTATATATGTTTCTCATCTCTTAACTCATTGCCAAAAATGCCTATGATTGATACTCGTCTTTTCCCACTCATTGATTGCATTTCTCACTTATTTTGTAGGGCTTTCATGGTGGCTCATGCTTTTGGTGACATCGTTTCTGGTGATATCGCGGAACCTGAGGTTGTCGTGAGTGCGTCACCATCAGTTGGGGGATTGTTTGATTCACTAACTGGAAGCATTGGTATCTCATCAAGGGCAAAACCCGTTGCTGCACCTGTTGCATCTTCTTCCCCGTCTGGAGCTGCAACAACTGGAGCTGCAGCATCAGATGCTCCCAAAGCAGGGTCCAGGCTAGATAGAGATTTACTTAGAAATTTTATCGCTACTGCTATGCCGTTTGGTTCGTATTTTCACTCTCTCATAAATTCTTTGTTTTGCATTCTGCTAGACCATTTGTTTTTCTGATTGATGTGCTATGAAACCTTGGCGTCTGTCAATAAATTTTGCAGGTACCCCATTAGACCTCAGCCTATCTAATATTTTTGCTATCAAGGCGAATGGCTTTTCCTCCGCTGAGCCTCCTCCCCAAGAACTTAAGCAACCAGCATGGAAGCCATACCTGTACAAAGGAAAGCAAAGGCTATTGTTCACAATCCATGAGACAGTTAACGCTGCACTGTACGACCGCGATGAGATTCCTGATAATGTGTCTGTTGCGGGACAGATAAACTGTCGGGCAGAGCTAGAAGGACTGCCTGATGTGTCGTTTCCTCTTGCTGGTCTGAGTACAGCCCACATCGAGGCTATATCTTTCCATTCATGCGCCCAAGTTCCAGCACATGGGATTGACAAGCAGAACATTGTTTTCCAGCCGCCCTTGGGTAACTTTGTTCTCATGCGATACCAGGCGGGTTGTGGGCTTGGACCACCAGTGAAAGGTTTCTATCAGCTATCGATGGTCTCAGAAGACGAAGGTGCATTCCTCTTCAAGGTGCGCCTAATGGAAGGTTACAAGGCTCCTCTGTCTATGGAATATTGCACTATTACTATGCCCTTTCCAAGGAGACGAATTGTGGCATTTGATGGGACCCCGTCAGCTGGGACTGTTTTGACCACAGAACACTCTGTTGAGTGGAGGATTCTGGGCAGCGGACGTAGTCTTTCTGGGAAAAGCCTTGAGGCAACTTTCCCTGGGACCATCAAGTTTAGCCCATTGCAGAGCAAGAGAAGAGGGGACGGGGACGATGAAGAGAGCGAGGGTGAGAGCGGTGAGGGTACAGATAATGTAGTGAATGTGGAGGAGTTCTTGGTGCAGAAAATGAACAAGGATCTCCCAGCAGTTGACTTGGAGGAACCGTTCTGTTGGCAAGCCTATGACTACGCTAAGGTATGTACTATGTCTTTTGCTGCCTTTGAAAAAAGATTCAGGACAAGGTTGTTTTCAAAATATATAATTTCTTGGTTTACAGGTCTCGTTCAAGATTGTCGGGGCATCTGTATCTCGAATGTCAATCGACACAAAATCGGTAGGATTTTAGCAAGTTTGCTGCTTAGGTGATTAGTTTACAGTGTTAGCCATAGCTTTTACGAGGGTTCTCTCCGATTAACCCCGCCCTTTGTTTTCATAGGTCAATATCTACCCAACCACAAAGTCGCCGGTGGAGTTTTCTGCTCAGGTAAGATACTGTGTCAATATAATAAAGATCTAGGCATGAATCACATAAATATTAAGATATAGTATGAGGTTCCTAGGAGTAAGTCCCAAAGAAATGGTTGAACCAGATTTGATGAATTCTGAAGGCTGTGTTCCCTTTAACAGGTGACTTCTGGGGATTATATATTATGGAATACATTGGGGAAAGCTCCATCAGCAGCCGCTGTGTAATTCTCGGTAAATGATTTTGTTTGTTTGTGTTTGAAATCATTAAATGTATGAGCATTGCTGATGATGGTCTCATTTTTTGCCGCCGAAGTGAATCTGTGTGTATATTATTGTTGTTACTTGAGAAAAAGAAGATGGATGTTTTTTTTCTGGCATGGAACACGTGTGACAATAAGCTGTTATGTTCATGAAATTGCCACTGTTTTAGCTTGCCTGCAAGTCTAACAAGGAATTGCAGGCAATATGCAAATGCAATACATATGATACGTAGAATTGCAAGACAATTCTATATATATAATGAAATAAAGTAGCAAATTTGAAGAAAAATATGAATTTATCATCAACGAACGGGCATATATTGAAGATAGTTTTTGTTGGTGACACGTCTCTGTAGTTCCAATGAGCTTGGAAGAACACCACCGACAGATCTCATTCATAGGTGCAATTGGAAGTTAATACCATAATTTGAAAAGGTCATCAAAAATCGATTTGGTTTTTTTAAATGTTATTGTCACCATCACTTTAATAGTGTGCTAAGCAAGAAGATGAGCTGTTATTACCTTGAAAACTCCATTCTATCTTTTTAATTTATAATTAGCTTCTAAATTCTGTTCCACTTTTTTTTTTTTGTTCTCTCT